GGTTGGAGAAAGCAGTAGTCAATAAAGAATATAAGAGAGAGGGAATGAAAAAAAGACAAATACACACAACACACACACACGGGAAAAGATACAGGAAACAGAAACCTAGAAAAACTTGATTTACTTGTCTTCACTCAATAATAAAAAAGTATAGTAATTATTACTAGCTTTTTTAATACTTACAATATACTAGGCACTATTCTAAGTACTTTTCATTCTCCACAGCAATCCTCTGAGATAAATACAATTTTTAACCCAGGTTTTTAGATGAAGAAATTGTGGCATCATGTAGAGTTGAATATGCCCAAGGTGACACAGCTAGTAGGTGGCAGAACCAGGACTCAAACTCAAGTTATTTAATTGCAAAGCCCTTATTCTGAATGCCTTATTACTATAAAATAAAATGATATAACAGTAGTTTCTATCATACTTGATACATAGGTATGTTGTAAGGATTATACATTCTAAAGTTTAATAAAAACACAAGTTATTAGTATTCATTCATGTCACCAAAAATATATAGGGTACCAATTATGTGCCAGATACCATGTAAGATATCATTATAATGACTTCTTCCCATTGCTGTTGCTTATATTCTCTAACTTTCTGGCAATTCATATTCTCCCTCCTGGCTCATTTAGGGAGTTATGATGGAGAAATTGTTTTGTGGAACAATAACACAGAAAATGCTCACTATGTCCTTCACCCTGATTACCAGAGGCTGCTAAAAGCAAAATCAGGTGAGTGCAAGTTTGAAACTAAAATAATGTAGCTCTGTCAAACCACAGTAGACTTGATTGTTTATGCATGTAGCTGATGTAGCTTGCTTCTAAATTATAGATAATTGGTTATAAGCGCAAGAGGTTAGTGATATCACTGTCTTGTCAAAATGACTACAAAGAACCTTGAGATTTACTTGGTTTAGCAAATTCTTCATGGCATACCATTTCTTCTCTTTGTGCTATATCAGTGTTTCTGAATTACCGACAGCAGAGAGCAGGCATCTCATTTCTATTTAGTTTAGTTTTTGCACATAAACCTCACCAAACTGCCTTTGTGTGAACCTTGGGTACTCCTTGGTAAGAAAATGAGAACTCATGTTCACTTAATGGGATCTTCAGGCTCAGTCTAGAGCTTGTATTTAATATTATGCTACCTAAAAATCTTAAATTATTTCTATTTCTTGTTTTAGAAACCTGTGAGGAATGTTAGATGGGAGTATATTGTATTTTATGAGAGTTTAGCCAAGCACATGAATATTTTATACTTAAGCAA